GGGGTGCCGCGGGGGGCGGGGCGTCCTGCCGCAGCTGCGCCTTCAGGCCAGGCGGGGGACACTCCTCAGAGAGGAGGCCCGGGGGTGGCGAAGAAACCACGAGTGACCTTCCGGGCACCCGCTTGGCTCCAAGCGAGCTTCCTTCCGTCAGATCCTCATTGTCCACTTTAAATACGGAGCTCTTCCCTGGAGCCTGGGAGCCCCCGAAACCGCAAATAAGGAAACCCCAGCCTGGCCCGGAGGCCCTGGCCCCACAGCCCCGTCCACCGCACCGGCCGGCCCTGGCCCGCCGGCCCCCGGGGCTTAAGGAAACCGGACAGCGACTGGCCCTGGGGACACCCACTCCCCAGGAGGCGGGAGGGCGCCCAGGCCCCCGCTGCTCGCCCGCGGGGGCGGGGGCTCAAGGAGGCACCGGGAGGTAGAAGGCAGAGGCCCTGCCTGGCTGCCCACGACAGGGAGGGGCCGGAGGGGCGGCGGCCGCTGGGCAGGGCCCGGAGCGAGAGCGGTCGGGGAGAAGCAAGGCCGGGCGCGCCCTCCTCCGGGCCGGGCCCTCCCGAGCAGCAGGCCGAGGCTGGCCGTGTCCCCGCTCCCCTCGGGTGTGCGCCCGGGCCGGCCCGGCCGGCAGTGCGGCCTGCGTTTGGCCCGAGGCCCGGCAGCGGCCAGCCCGCCGGCGGCCGCAGACTACAGCACGTTGTAGTAGGCCATCTCCTTCATGGCCTGCTCCGTGAGCACGCTGGCCTCGGCGCTGCTGTCCACGCCCGCGTAGGCGTAGCTGTTGTCCTCGAAGTCCTCCATCTCCTGCTGGCCGTCCAGCTCCGAGGGGTCTGTGCCTGTCAGCTCCATCATGGGGTCTGCGAGACAGAGGCGTGGTGAGGCCCGGGTGCGGCCGGTCGGCGCTGGCCACCCCACGCTGGGCGCCCAGCCTCTCGGGCGGAGGGCCAGGCTCCAAGGGGCAGGGCCCCAGGGCTGCGTGTGGGAGCTGTCCGCCCGCAGCATCCGGGGGGCGCCCGGTGCACCCCCCACCCCCGCCCGTCATCTCCGGCAAAGCGAACCCCGTTAGAGCCCTTGCAGCTGGAAAGGCCGACAGAACTCTCCTGGGAGGGCCGGGACCCCTGCGAAGAAGGGGCTCGGCGGTGAGCCGGGCCTCTCTCCTGCCCACCGGAGGGGTGGGGGGGCCCACGAGCTGGGAGACTCGGGCCGGCACGGCGGGGCCGGCTCAGCCCCGTGTTCCCCGGCAGCCTCTCCCGGTGGGTGGCCGCCTCTGGCCAGTGAGGTCACTGACACCGCTCGCAGGGGCGCGGCCCCCGCCGTGGCCAGCGACTCTGGGCGCCCTGCGCGGGGGCCTGGGACACCCAGGGCCACTGGCGGTGCCTCGCCCTCCCCCAGTGTCGAGGGCCGACTCGGCCGCTCTGGAGAGGACCTGGACTTCCGGCCGCTTCTTCACCCACGTCTGGGCTGGTGGGTGTCTGCCTCTGGGCCTGGCACCCTGGCACTCGGTCCAGCAGGCTGCCCAGCAGCGCAGAGCCTTGCAGAGAGCCAGCGCCTGGACAGCCCCCGGACGCGGCCGGCCAGCCATGTCCTCAGCGACCCCACGCCCCGCCCTGTTCCCAGGCCGCTGCTCTGCCCCCGTCCCGTCCAGGCTTCACCAGCTGGCCTGTCAGTTTGTGCTCGGCCTCCTCCCGGGCCCGTCGCTGTCCCCCACAGCACGAGGGCAGCTCTCTCCCAGAGGTCGGGCCGCTCCGGCGGGCCCCGGCGGTGAGTGGCCTGGCAGGGCCACTGGCGCGGGGGCTCCCAGACCGACGGCCCGCGTGGGTCAGGAGGCGCACCCCCAGGCCACACGGCCCCCCGCAGGGGGCCCAGGGCCGACCGCAGCCAACTTTGGGAACCAGCTCCCTAGTCTGCGTCGAAGGTTTTCAAGACGCGCCACCGACGGCAGCTGCGGCTGGCCCTGGGAACTTGCTGGAAATACAAGCTCTCCGGCCGCGACCTGGCGGACGGCCCGCGGGGGTCGCCGGCCGCTTCTCAAGCTCCGGGCGCGAGCAGGGAGGTCGGCTCGGGGGC